TTTGGGAAGATTTTCATTTTGTATTAAAGCGCATGATAAGGAGATTCCAAAGTTGATCCCACCAGAAGACGACGAATGATTCCCGTTTTACTGCAGCCGTTTGGTTTAATAAGAAGTTCCGGTTTACACAGTTCACGAGACATCTTCCCTCATTTCGGGTAAAACGGGCTGAGCTTCTGTCCATCAAATGATGGACGTCATCAGAACTGCAACTCATTCTTGTAAAAGTCCATAGTTAGCAGTGGGTTAAGAAGGCTGTCCGGCTGTATCTTACGTCTTAAAAATACTCAACTAAAAACGAATTGATACATAGATAGATAAAAAATAATGAGTTGGCTAATGCCCTTTCCTATTAGTCATGGTACATTTACTTGAGTGTGTATGTGTATGTTTTATCATCTATGCTCAATAACGGTCCGAAAACAAAGTGATTAAAATAGTCTAATGTCAGGCTCGGGGTTTAGAGGTGGGCTGAGTCAACCCGCATGTCGTATTGAGGCCAAGCGGCTGCAGTACACGGGGAACAACCTCAGTCTTCTGGTGAGATCGACCTTCGAACATCTTTATCGAGCACTTTCATACAAAATGAAAGTCTCCTCGACTATGTTATCTCATGTTTCGTGTATAAGTAGAGTTTCGAGACTTATGTTATCTTGGAAGATTCTTCGAAACCCAGTCAGCCTTAGTATCTGCGGTTAATATATATTAACATGAATGTACAAATGTATAGAATATGTAGTCAAAGCAAAAAGGTGGCTATGGACAAGATGTCTTCAGGGCGTATCTTAGACTTGCTTGTCGCTTAAACACTTGTGTGAGTGGAATCTTGACTTATGATTGATCCTTGAGGTACCGATCTGATATGTCTAAATATGGACTCGGTGCACAGACAAGATTTGATTGGTCGGCGCAAAAAAGAAGCGAGGATAACCATACCTACTTTCATATAATATAAGTAGTGCTATCAGTTTGCCTCGTATAGAGGCCCAGTAGGAAACGTGAAACGAGAAATATCTTGGCCACCTGAGGTCGCATGAGGTGATTTACTGCCTGCAGTTGAATTTCCCCACAATTTCCCCCAAAATACCATTGAATTTTACCTGGCATTACCTCCCAAAAGGCAATATCCTCTTGGGTGAACGACATTTTTGACCTCGATTACGTCTTGTCAGCACCCCCAGCAGGAATCGAACAATGTTAGTGCTCAGTATAATCCTATGCTAGCTAGGTTGAATACAGCTTTTATTAAAGGTCTTACTGGTCGTTTCAAAAACGTATTAGTATTGCGAGTATTCTAGTAGCAATAGCAAGTACAAGTTTGTTTAATCAATATCCCCCTGTTGCATAGAATGACTAGAGTTGCTACTCATACATTTCTGATAGTCTCACAGCCTATTCACACAAAATAAAAGCGGATTTCCTTAGCACTCAGACTGGCCGCCTTGTTGATTTCACACGGCCCTTCGACTCGATACGTCCTGATGCCTTCAGAAAAGTACTAAAGTAATCACTTAAACGGCCGGCAAAATCAGGTCCCTTCTGAAGACTTAGGGACAGACAGTAAATACTTTTCAAATCAAGTTGAGTAGGTCTCACGAGGCCGTTAAAGCTCACCCCACTTCGGAGGAGATTCATAGGCCGAGCTCCCCGGAAGACGACCACTTGTGGGACAGAGCAGGCTAGTTGTCTTGACTTCGTGTTCACTTAAAGCTTTTGCCAGAATGAGTTCCAGCTTTGCTCATGTCTGGTTGTCTAGCCACTGGCAAGACAGACTAACTCAAGGCCAGATTTAACCATACATTTATGGGGAGAGGGTGTCTGGTCAACTTGAATGTTGTGGTAAAGCGAAAACAATTGCAGAACCATCAGAATCCTCCATCATCTTGTGGTTGGATTGACCTACAAGGCCCTGCCGTTTGTCGTATGAAAGATGAAAATTTAGCACATTTTAACCACAATCAAAGGAGATTGCCCCGGCGACAGCGTCGATCAGAATATTCCCGTAGAGCTAGTCGAAACTGGTTAATAAGAATCTATCTTCGTCTTGGGGTGGGATCCATACTTAAATCACTTTATCACACCTACTTTCACTCGTAAAGGAAGTGGGGTCAGCAAATGTGGGCCAAGAGACGCCACAGTAACGGGCCTCAGCTTCCAAACTGGCCGCCTTGGCAACGCCGTGCAGCACGTCAACTCGGAATGCCTCGATGTCTTCAGCAAGAGAACGATGTCGTCGTGTCAAAATATTCCGAATATGATTTAGATCTACCCTCGACTCAGACCTAACACCCTCCTCCCCCCTTCGGACGGCCTGCCACCTTGACTGGATGATCCCATGTTCTGCAGATGATGACATGATGTTTGAGGCCTGGAAAAGGTGGGCGGGGGAGTGCGGCTACAGGCGATGTGGTATCGTTGTATTTGATGAATCAGACCACTCCACTGGATGAGTGGGACGGGAGGACATGTTAGGCAAAGACCCGGTGACTCGGTGCCTCTGGTTTCGCTTTTACTGCGCTCCTGTTCACTGTCCAGTTGGCCTGTGTCTGATCTGCCTGCAGGCGGCGCAGCGTCTTTAGCGCACTTCGTGTTGCCAGGGCATCGAGCAACGGAGCAGGCCGTCCGGCCAACCGGATTGCTGGCAGAAGCACTGGCCTCTTACCGCCGGCTCTCGGCGGAACGAAACCCTCATAAACGGACATCAATTTCTCCTCTCGTCTCGCTCAGCCGAGGCCTTAGCGACGCGATCGATACTCCCCTGCCCGGGCCTCGGGACACCCTGTTGGACAAGGAGGTCTATAGCCGGCGCGACGAGAAGGCCAATGTGTATCTCG